TGGCTATGTATAGAATTGTAGGAAATATACGGAAGACACAATAACATAAAATATCTTCCCCAACAAATAACATTATGATATTGTTGTACCGTTACGCGATTTTGGCTTTTCTATTTTTTGTGTTTGCTTTATTTTCGTGTGTTTAATTTTGGCACTTTCATTGGAGGCACCAAATAAACCAAAATAAAACTACAACCAAAATAACACAATTTACGGTACCACCAAATCATTGTACGTCACATCCGGTTGTATACGAAAATAGGTCGAAAAAAAATATTCCCTTGAATTTGACAGTTGTAGGTAATTGATCATACATTTCATTGCAGTAAAACATTTCTTGGTCATAAACATATATCTCGGGTATTTCAAAGCACCATTATTCTTTTATTTGGGGTTTCTTTAGAATATTTTGGAAACTTGAGGTTACATGGTTACTAAAGCTTGTACACAGGTTAAATAAGGTGGGAAATTTGATTGGTTAACTTCCAGTGATGGTTATTGTCTTGTATGCAATGAAATGTAATGTGAAATTTTTTCTATAGTACTGGACAGGATAAAACTGTACTTGTGCCAGGTATTTCTTTATTTGAAGCAAAGATAAATTCTGCACAATTTTTTGACAAGTGCAAATTTAACAAAAACTGATAGGGGAAAATCAATGGTGGTATAACACCTAATAGAATACATTTTTGTCATGTTTTCTATTGATTATTGTGTTATACGTAAGCAAATCGAAAAATTAGTTTTATCACTTTTAGACCTCTACTCATGCAAACTTGAGACATAAGCATATGTTGTTATTCACCGCTGTAAAATAACTTGAAATCAAATCAAAGAACATAAACTCTTTATTAAAATATTTCAATTTTCAAATTACAATATGTATAAAATAAGAAAATAAGAAAATAAATATAAGATTGCTTAAACAAATATTCATATAAAAAAATATATGTTGATATATTTAGAGATTGATATAGAAAATACAAATGCACAAGATCACAAAAGTAATATGTATATCATTTATTTTTTTCAAAAGGCGTATATATTGTTGTTGCACAAACGTAAATTTCAAATCCTGGTAATGATTTATGTGACCAAAGAACCCAGTCGGATTGTTTTGCATTTCAAAACAAGCATAGAAAATATTGCAAATACAAGTTCTTAACATAAATACATGATCCCTTTCCGTTATAATGACGTCATCATGATCAAAACACAACGTCACAACGTCACATTCAACTTTAGTTGCAGAGTAAAAGTTTTCTCCACTGAAAATCTATCGAATGTCCCCTTTTTAAATAAAAAAAAGAATAATGTGAAAGACAACAATACAAAGTTAGCATACATAATAAAAATCAAAACAGCTTCATAAAGATGAAGATATACAATTAAATCTAGAGGTACCATAAATGCATGTATACTATGATTGAATTGATGCAAAGAGACGGTTGACCACAGTTGTCGTGGTTAATTATTTCCAATATCAAACGATACTGATATATCAGCCATTTAATATTATTATAATTCATAAGTAATATTCATTCAATTCATTGTAAAATTTTCTTCATCTAGAATACTGCAGAATTTATATTTCTACATTGTAAATGGTGTTTTAACTTTAATTATCTGCGAAAATCTGTTTATAATTTATCTCATTTTCTTTGTTAAAAAGTATATGGTTGGCTTTATCTCTTAATCAACGATGTCACCTTAATACCAACTTATCCGACTACCATATCTTGGGGTAACAGCAGGAAATTGTCTACTGTCATACACGTCGGAGAATTCTGATGTTTGCTGCTTTTGTATATCGGGTCTAAAATAGAAGAAAGAAAGCCTATTTATATTAGGACACCATGAGTACACTATAACGTTAACCAACTTACAATACATTTAGAAACTAATATTTGGTATTCTTACCAGTTTTATCTCTTACTAGTTATCTTTATAATATCTTCAATATGTTACTACATTACTCAATGTATAACATCATGGACAAATTAGATAAATTAAGACGACACGATAATGTTTTAAATTAAGCACTATCTCAATGCCAAATAAACTCGGAAGATAAATAATATGAATCTAGTTGATACAGATTTCCTAGGGTGAAACGTTTTGTTTTATCGCAACATAAGAAACAATAACAAGATGATGGAAAAGGCTCTTGGGTATTCATCCATGATATAAAAGATCACACACTCTCACCTCACTGCAAGATTAAGACGTTTACGATGGTGTGTTTTTATGCTCTTTTTCTCATAAAATATATTCAGTTAATGCATACTCTCACCTTTCTGCAATATTAAGACGTTTACGATGGTGTGTTTTTATGCTCTTTTTCTCATAAAATATATTCAGTTAATGCATACTCTCACCTCGCTGCAATATTAAGACGTTTACGATGATATCTTTTTATGCTCTTTTTCTCATAAAATAGTTTCACTTAATGCACACTCTCACCTCACTGCAAGTTTAAGACGTTTATAATGATGCTTTCTTATGCTCTTTTTATCATAACATATATTTGTGTCGTTGTTAAAGCAATTAAGAGCTGCTACTACAGAACGGCAAAAGTGAAAGTCGTTAATATCAAACTTGACCTCTATTTTGTTATTAAAAACAACAAATTAAAACACGAAAATTTGATACAAATAATGTTTGAATGGTTCCCAACTTAATCAGTGAATATTATATTCCAATCAATCAAGGATTAAAACATCTGAACTTGTAAAAAGGAACGTCGTCAATAATGGATTTGTTATTGACTATCATTTAATAGTAATAACAACATATAAAACAAATCATTTGATGAACTTTTTTTACTTCAAGGAAACGACAAGAAGTGTAACTTTTCAATCATTCAGTAGACGTCAATCTGGAACAATTTAAGTGAAAACCGTCAATAATTAACTTGATATCCATTTTGTCATAACACACAGTTGATTAAAACTTGCAAAACATTGGTTGAAAATTTTTCAAGTTATTGCACGTAATGTCAAAGTGTCCTTTTTCAATCAATTTAGGAACATGCTTCCTCAGTATTATAAATGAAAATCGATCTTGCCGGGAACCTTAACTTTTTTATCACAACATAGATAACAAATATCTTTTTTCGAATGCACCAACCAACGTTAAACATCTCTTTAAGGTATCAAATATCATGCATTTCAATGGTAAAGAGTTGGTGATGACTTGAAACACTGTACAAAACATCTGAATGTAAAGAAATATGTGTGTCCCCTTACATGTAGACCTAAGTAATGGCAATAAGTGAAGTTAAGAAGGAGTGTTAGCCAATATAATCTAATCATACATTTACAAAAGAACTGCATTAGCAAAAGTCTTTGCTTGTTTACTGTTGTGAATGCTCTTGAATTTGACGGAAATCTTTATATTCTTATATATATTTATATACTTTTCAAAAGGCGTGTTTGTCTTGTTTAGAATTTTACTTTTCGCCTTGTTTAGAACTATATCTCGTATTATATTTAAAGGATAGAGTTCATACATACTTGTTAATGCTCTGTTTTGCTGCATATGTTGCATATATTGCTCCAATGAGGGAGAGAACTGCAACTACAGCTCCGATACTACCGGCAATTATCGGAGTATTGATGTTGTTAACTTGAAAAAAATCAATTTTAGAAATTAATAACTATAATTTAAATCACCATAATTCATAAATTTAAAAGTGTAAAAAACTATACTTAAGTTGCATAGAACTTCAAATTGTGTAATTTAAACTGAAAAAGCAGAAATTACACTACCAGCTAGGATTCTACAACGTGATACAGTTCCATCTGGAGCTAATCATTAGAATTTTACATAATTATTTTAACTTTTATTATTAACAGTAATATTTTCTTCAATCAGTGGATAAAAATCAATTACTTACATTGATTTTATATGACAGTCTGAATATTTCCTTTTACTAAACATATATGCTTGGTGTACGTCAATGAGACAACAACAACACCAAAACAATACAAAAAAAGGGGGACCACGGTTTTCAGGTGTGCTTGTTCAATATCAAATAGACAAATATTCAGTACATTCGTCATTTATAACTAACTTATCTGGGTTGTCTTCCTTTAAAAAACCCGTTCTGGTTTTTTCTTAAGGAAGATTTGTAGGTTAAATTTCAAAAAAGATCTACCTTCAACCAACCTATATTCTTTTGTAACCAAACATTTAAATAAAGACAGCCATTGCGAGGTTTTCTGACTTCACATATTTAATTTACCATTTCGAGGTTACAATGAAAGAAACTGCAATTAAAATCTTACTAAATCTGTTGAATAACAGCCCCTTATTCCATTATACTACCGGTATAGTATACATATATACCAAGGTATCTGTGAACAACAATACTTAATTGCACCATACAGGAATATGATGGAGATACTAAAAAAAATGTTTAAATTCACATAACATCGAGTTAAAAAAAAGCTTGTAGTAAAATAGGCTGTTCGTTCAATGAGATATCATCAAGCAACACCATAAACAGTGCAAGAAGAAAACATGATATAAAATGCTAAAAACACACTTGAACATAATTTAAATTATGGAAAATCAAAGACACATTTCATTCGTGTTACAGAATATGGGAAAAGGCAAATTCATATCAATCCCTTATTGCATAGTGCAAAACATATACACAACACAAAGAAGCGAGCATTGCTTATTTTCTTTTTTATCTAGCCTTTATATTATGTTTTGGTATTTGAAAACAAATTTAAAAACATTTTCTGGTATTTGAACATTACCGCAATTGAAATAAAAATTCTAAATAATTTCCGTAGTTTGTCATTATATCACGTAAAAGCTTTTATCAAATTTATTAGAATTTTGAAAGAAAACACAGGATGGGAGGAGCATAGATATATTTAGATGAAATTTTTTTTTTATATTCCAGTTTAATGAATATTAAGAATTATCAGTCACACTAAAAAAAAAGATTCGAATTTAATGATTGAAGATTTAACAATATCATTTATTCATCCAAACTGTTGAAGCTTAATTTTGAATATAACTGTAAGAAGGATACATTTTAAATCTCTAGTATAGCCTTTAAACTGTTGTTTTTATCAGTTTTTTTCACTGCAAGTTATCCAAGATAATCTGCGACAGAAGACAATTACTACAGACAACCCTTGCAAAACAAAAGTATCTATAGTCATACAGAAAGCAGAAAAAATACTTACGAGTAGCTTTTGTGCCTGTGGCACCTTCATTTGATGATGACAATGTTGTACTTTCAGTTGTTGAATCTTTAGTGGTTGCTTCTGTCGTCTGTTCTTTTGTTGGACTGTCCTGTGTTGGTTTCAAAGTTGTAATTAGTGTTGTAGATTCAGTTGTATCTTCCATAGTTGGTATCGTTGTCGTAATTGGTGTTGTAGATTCAGATGTAACTATTGTAGTTGGTATCTTTGATGTGATTGGTGTTGTCGATTCAGTTGTTACTTCTGCTGCTGGTATCTTTGATGTGATTGGTGCTGTAGATTCAGTTGTAACTTCCGTAGTTGGTATCTCTGAAGTGATTTGAGTTGTAGATTCAGTTGCAATTTCTGCCGTAGGTATCTTTGATGTGATTGGTGCAGTAGATTCAGTTGTAAATTCCGTAGTTTGTGTCTTTGATGTGATTGGTGTTGTCGATTCAGTTGTTACTTCTGTAGTTGGTATCTCTGGTGTGATTGGTGTTGTAGATTCAGTTGTAGCTGCTGTTGTTGGTATCTCTGATGTGATTGGTGTTGTCGATTCAGTTGTAGCTGCTGTTGTTGGTATCTCTGATGTGGTTGGTGTTGTAGATTCAGTTGTAGCTGCTGTTGTTGGTATCTCTGATGTGATTGGTGTTGTCGATTCAGTTGTAGCTGCTGTTGTTGGTATCTCTGATGTGATTGGTGTTGTAGATTCAGTTGTAGCTGCTGTTGTTGGTATCTCTGATGTGATTTGTGTTGTCGATTCAGTTGTAGCTGCTGTTGTTGGTATCTCTGATGTGATTGGTGTTGTAGATTCAGTTGTAGCTGCTGTTGTTGGTATCTCTGATGTGATTGGTGTTGTCGATTCAGTTGTAGCTGCTGTTGTTGGTATCTCTGATGTGATTGGTGTTGTAGATTCAGTTGTAGCTGCTGTTGTTGGTATCTCTGATGTGATTGGTGTAGTCGATTCAGTTATAATTACTGTAGTTGATATTTCTGATGTGATTGGTTTTGTAGATTCAGTTGTTATCTTTGTTGCTTGTATCATTGTTGTACTTTCTGTTATAGGTTCCGTTGAAATCTCTGTTGTTAAAACGTTTTTAGTGGTGACATCTAAGTGTGTAGTTATATCTGCAGAAATGGGTGAAGTTGTTTGTTCCACGCCTACAAAAATATTTCACAAAGTCTAAAATAGGGTGCTTGTTTCGGCTCAGCCGGTTAGAAGTCGCCTTCACAAACTAGCGATACATACACGAAGACCACATAAAGGGATGGGGCTAACACCCAACCATTAACTTCAAAGGCTAGTCTGGACAAACCGCCATTTACGCTGGCATTACAGGGACTGAAGAACAGTAATTTCACAGATGAATCCCGCTTTACATTGAAGTTCGCTGATTGTCGCAAACGGGTATGTCGTTGGAACAATGAACGATACCATGCAAGCACTGTGACGCAATAGGATCGGTTCGATGACGGCAGTTAAATGGTTTGGGGAGGAATTCATTATGGTGGTAAAACAAATTTAGTGATCGTTAGTGGGACATTGAATGCCAGGAGATAGTGTGATAGCATCTTGACACCCGTTGATCTCCCCTTCTTTGTCCAGCGGAATCATAATGGATTCAATTTTCAACGTGACAATGCAAGACCACATACTACTCGCCTGACGATGAATCTGTTCCACAATTAACGTTCTTGATTTGCCAAGTCGATCACCAGACCTCAATCCGATCGAACATGTTTGGGATCTGTTGAATCGACGCATCCGTAAAAATCACGGTGATTTCCAAAATTTACAAGAACCTAAAAATAAACTGATTAGGGAATGTAATGCGATTCAACAACATTCGAAAGATACTCAATGGAATACGAAAACGCTACCAATCCGTCATTGATGCAACTGCAGTATGGACGAGATACTGACTTTTAATAACACTTTACACATTTCAACATTTTGACCCTACTGCGCTCCATACAAAGAAATTCCTAGTCAATGTGAGTGATAAACATTCATGATGCTTCTGACTTCTTATAATTCGATTTGTTTTTAATGAAAATCATATGTTGTGAAGTTTTTGTAATAAAATGAAATTTCATAATTTTGATGCTAAACATTTTTTGCTCAGTGTAGATGTTTATAACGGATCAATCAAATTGAAATAAAGATGCTCGTCCGTTTGAAAAAAAAGTAACACTGAATGACTTCTTCAAATCATTTACAACATATTGATTAAGTTTTTAGATGCATGCATGCTTTAAATGCAAGCCTGAACATAAGAATAACAGGTAATATAATTTTCTTTTAACTTTCATTAGCAAGAATATATTTCGAGTTTGTCTATCTTTTGTCAATTAATGACACTTATTTTAACATTATGGAATATGCATGCACCAATATTCAATATGCAGGTAATTTATAGCAAAATGTTTTAAAAATCTTGCACGTATTTTCAATCTAACGCAAGGAAGATACAATATTCCAAATAACAATGGGGAAAAACAAGTTTAAGACAGAATCAAGTTCGTCGAAGGAAAGTCCAATAGGTTGTTAAAATAATGCAACTAAAATTAATGCATATTGTTAAGGCGGAAATCTATAAAATCGGTAAATAAAGTTAAGTCTGTATTACTAAAACATGTTTTTAAGCGTATTAAGATAAATTATGCAGTTTAATTTAGAAACATGATAAATATATTTTGTACTTTTAAATATAATGTTTAAAGAAATTAACCAGAAATACGTTAAATCAACTAAGATGTATATTTATTAGATATAATAAGATGTGATAAGAGTGCCAATGAAACAACTCTGCGCCCAAGTCACTATTTGTAAAAAAAAATCCGTTATAGGTCTTCAACACGGAACCATTGATCACATCGAACAGCAAGCTATGAAGGGCCCTGTGTAAAACCATTCAATCATGAAAACCATTTGTCTAATCTTGTTAAAAACGAGAAACGAAAAAAAACCACTTATGAACCACATCTACAAGTGACACCCACTGAACAACAGTTTCCTGACTATAGACAGTTGGAAACAAATGCTTTTGATTTCTTGATAAGATTTCATGCACGATCTAATATCAGAAATTTCATAATCATATTGCAATATTTTACCACCGTTACTGATTCTTTCACGGTGGTTTTTTTTTGTCTTGATATACCGAGCAGTAGAATAAAGTTATACTAGCAAACATGTTTATAAAAGTCACCCTTTTCGTCATAATGAGACAGATTGCTATTTCCATACCTTTTCATGCTACTCTACTTTTCTTCAATTTTCATACTTATGTTGTCATACAGTTAACATTTGTATTTGTAACAACTAGGAGTGAACAGACATAACTCCAAATATAACAAAACATAGTCAATTATAAAAAAACCAGTTACTATGATATACTGACTGACTTTAAAAACGCAACACTCATTTTGTTGATTTTTTTTCCACATCATGTTTGATTCTCATACAATTACTATTAATACTTACCATACTTCTTTCTCTTAAGAAAAAATCAACATCTGACTTACCTGTGGTTATTGAACATACCGGGTTTTTGAAGTCGCACGAATTTCTTAAAGCGAAATTTGGAACCCATAAAAGATTGTTTCAGTTTGTTTTGCTTCGTTAAACAGTTCTTTAAATCCTTGGCCACACTTAAATCAGTTAAAAAATGTTGCATCTCCAAATTGCCAAGACTGTTGAATAAAAAACTGAATCAGCCCATAAGAATACTGCAAACAGGAAAACGTGAACGTGCTGCAACCATACAGTTTGACTTCAGAAACTCGTCTTACTGTCCTTCCGACAACGATACAGGTAGACGGGATTTGTTACTGACCACCAATGACCAGATCAACATGTAGTGACAATGCAACGTCAATAGAATTTGATTACGCAATGTCATTTGCGAGACATGTTTACGGCCGTAACGTCAACTGCTTATCAAACTGCTGAATGCCATTGCGCACAGATTCATGCCATAAACGTTTCCCATAAACTGAACTGCCAAAGAATCGACTGAAGAAAAACATTTAAAGCCGTGAAGTTTCCACCGCATAATTGCCAAAACCCATTGTAATGGGTGGAATAAACGCATATTCAGAAGGTGTAAAACAGAACCCAAAACATGTGGAACAGAATTGGTTGATCTTTCTGACAATCATTTTGGCGTTTGTTACAGGCAGTCATTGCTTTTGACGGTGCCACATTCATTCAAAAATTTAAAAAGAATAATCTAGTGTTGCGTTTCTAAAGTCGGTCAGTATACTAACAAAGTATCAAATGAACAAAGGGATCTGTTAACAAAACTAGCAAACTAAAATGGTAGAAGAAATCATAGAACTATCATAATAGTATTCAACTTACATAAAAATAAAAACGTAAAGAATACAACATTTAATGCATTTGTAATCTGCTGATAATTTTTATAAGACTGATATGCATGTCTTGCGTTCACATTTATAAATCCTTCCTGCAATTATGTTTGAATCGTCGAACCAGAAGATAGTTTAATGATCCATGCAATCTAACACAATGAATTATATATGTCAACGTACTTGCAGAACAAAATGAAACCGTAAAATCCTAGTTAGATGATGTATATTATATCAAGACGATTATTGTCCTAACAGCTTCGACACATTTACTAAAAGAGGGGCGAAAGATACCAGAGGGACAGCAACAGTCATTTGATTCAAACCAAATATATATACACAAGTAGATTTCAGTAAATTACAAGCTTTTGACAACACATAACAAGTCTATTTCTGTTTTCAACTTGACTCTAATTAATAGAACGACATATTTTTAATAGCATGTACAAATATAAACTTCTACATTCTGCAGAATTTGTTTTCAGGCCACATCAGTTAGGTCTTAATGTACAGTGATAACTTTAACCTAGCAAATTTGTTAGACTTTGAAAACGCTTTTTGATCTGACATTCTTTTTAAAAAGCTTGAAATTCATAGATTCAGTGCGGCTGTTGTTAGCTATTTGAAGTCATGGGTGAATTAGGTGAAGATAAAAAATATATACATAAACCGCGTCACGTTGAATCAGTGCCTGTCCCAAATCAGGAGAATGTATCGAGCAATGGCTGTTTGTTGCTTTTTATTTTATTTGTTTTTCGTTTATTTTTTTGTATAGCGTAATATTGTTATGTGTTGTTGTTCTGGCGCCATCTAACTAGTTTAAAACCGCTGCATTTTGAAACAGGAGTCTTTTGTTAAGTATAAGTCACTTTGTTGGAGTGGTTCATAGATGTTATCCATTTCTCTCTTTTTATATAGGTTAAACCTTAAGTTTTCCTTTTTGACTTATTGTTTATTTTGTACTTGTTTGGGTTAGGGTTATTTATTATTATTTTGATCTGATGAGTCTGGTGTATTAAATTATAAGCCTACTACCTTTGATAACTATTTACACTAGTCATTTTGGGGTCTCTTATAGTCTGCTGTTCGGTGTGAGTCAAGGCTCTTTGTTGAAGGCCGTACTTCGGTCTATAATGTTGACCTTTTTAAACATGGTTAATTGGACTGAGAGATGTCTCATTGGCACTCCTACCACATCTTCTTTTTTATAATGATGCTGTTTTAAAAGATTGAAACAGAGTTGAAGAGTAGCGAAATATTCCTAGATTAAAGAAGTTTAATTATATAAGTGATAAGAACATATAATACAATTGGTATATTCCGTCCCTTATAGACTACTGCTTTATCATTAGCAAAGAATGTAGACATTAAGGGAAAACTCAAAATAGGACAGCAAGATTAATTTAAGATAAATATCATGTAGCCCATTATTTAAAGAAATTAAGTGGATAAGTGTTGAAAACTGAATTAAATACCAGAAATATAATACTTCTTTATAACCATGATATATGTTTGCTCACAATGCATAATTCCAAAAATTACTTTTAAGGAAAGTTAAAAGAAGTACTTGACACAGTTCTGATAAATTTCAGTTTTTCTTTTGTGCATACTATTGATTTCTTTCTCATTTGATTGTGTTGATTTTTTTAATTTTTACTACAAATTCTTCTCAAACAGTTTAAGTTTATATCGTGTTTATGATAAATATACCAAACAGTTTAAGTCAAATTAGTTTAGCTTACGCATCTGAATAAAGGTTGTGTACTTAGATTACATAACACAGCGGAAATATGAGATGCTTAAGATACATGCACATGCAAAAGAATAAAAAATTAAAAAGCACACAAACATATAAGTTGTAAGTAACCAGATGTACGTTCAGTGTGTCTTACCGATGCTTACACGTTACTGCCTTTTCTTTGTTTTTTATAAATCATTTGATAATTATAATCGAAGACTCTACTTTGCATATGATATTACAAAACAGCAAGAAGTTTCATGTAATTTTATGCTTCGAAATTGGTCCATAAATAAACTCATCATAGATACCAGGATTAAATTTTGTATTAACGCCAGACGCGTGTTTCGTCTACAAAAGACTCATCAGTGACGCTCGAATCGAAAAAAGTTAAAAAGGCCAAATAAAGTACTAAGTTGAAGAGCATTATAACCCATTAAAAGTATAAACTCTAAACTATACAGTCCGCCAAAAGTTAAGCACCACCTATTTTTATTGCATCGATCTTTTCTTCATTTAAAAAAATCAGTTAATCCTCGAAAAAGAGAAAATATTCATATTGCAATTTTGCTTACATATACCATAAACAAACCGTAGACTTAAGTTTGTTCACGTATGCAGGTTCTATGCATTTGAAATTTGCGTTCATAGAAATAGTGAAAATTACACAAATCAGAAACGGAATTTAAGTTTCACTGTGATTTTATTTTTTTACAACAATTAATCACCCATTATCATTAAAAGTCTCTACAATTAATCTTTGGTATGTTCGGCAAATTTAATGTCAATATTTGAGTCAATAGGTGTGTAACACCCTCTCTTCCGGTACAGTT